TGTGTGTGTGTGTGTGTGTGTGTGTGTATATAAGAATAACATTAATTGATAAATGTTTAACAATCTAATAACACTCAAATTGCCACACCCACTTTGAGGTTGCATTGTGTTAAAAAACCACCAACTGTTGTAATGTTATTCCGCCCATTCCTACCTCGTTCCTTACTTTTTGGTGCTCCCATTCCTATTTCCTAATTTTTTTACACTTGTATCATAGCTTATTTGTGGTACTAAGTCTCGAGAGTGACTGGGCTCTCGTAGCGTTTCTTAGGGGCCTGGCATGGCCAGGTGATTAGGGCACTTGACTCACAATCTGAGGGTCGAGGGTTCGAGTCCCCATCCCACCAAATATGCTCGCCCTTTTAGCTGTGGGTGCATTATAATGTGACGGTCAGTTCCACTATTCGTTGGTAAAAAGAGTAGCCCAAGAGTTGACAGTGGGTAGTGATGACTAGCTGCCTTCCTTCTAGTCTTTCACTGTTAAATTAGTGACGGCTAGCGCAGATAGCCCTCAGGTAGCTTTGCACGAAATTCAAAACAAACAAAAACCTTTTCTTTGAGCTGTCTCTCTACATTTCCTAGCTTTTGCTGTACTTTTTCTTCCACCTAGTTCGGGTGGCAACCTTTTCTTTGGCTAGGCTTGTTTTGAATGTTCAGCGTTACTGTTTCTAACCTTATTTTTATTCTTGTGCTCTATTCGCTGGGACAAAGATTTTTCAAGGTTATCAACATAAAATTTTAGTTAGAATCTAGATCTAGAGAATCTACGTAGTGCACTTTTTTTTACACTTTGATATAGCTGCTGGCTGATAACGTAGCGCGTGCGTATAAGGAATCGTGCACTCGTGGGTTGTTACTTGGCAACTCACAGAGCGTGATCGTAATCATAGAATATGGCTACTAGTGTATTATTAGCTCGTTAGTAAGTGTTGCAAAATGGTTATTGTTATTACCAAGGTTATAAGTAAAACTAAGATAAACGTTTTTAACCAAAGTAGCGTAATTCAATCATGTGCATTTAGATTCGCATAAGGTGAAGTCAGGAAACAGCTAAGCCTTTCCAACAACGTTGTTCCTAGATGAGTCAGTGGCAAGTCTTTGGATTTACAATGGTAAAATCATGGGTTTGATTCCCCTTGATGGGCATAGCAGATAGGCAGATGTGACTTTGCTATAACAACAAAAAACAAACAAAAAAAACAAAAAAAAACACACTCTCCAACAACATTAGTTAGCCAGATTGATAAATTTGTGATTTTGTGAAATTTTTGTTTTTACTCTATCGACTTTCTCAAGTTCTTTTGTGACTTGTTATTAAGGAGTTGGTTTGTTTACTATTCAACAGTGTGTGTAAAGTGCGTATAAAGTTTTATTTACATGTCGTTTGTAGTTTGTTTGATATTTTAATTTGTATTGCACATCTGGCCCATTCTTACTGTAAGTAATACCGTACTTGTGATATAATGTTTCATGTTTATAATACAGTATTCATAATATACGAATAATAATAAATACATATAATTCAAAAAAAGACAAGAGCAAAACTTAAACTTCCTTACTGGTGGGTCACCGGTAAGTGTATGGACTTACAACGCTAAAATCCGGAGTTCGATTTCCCGCGGTGGACACAGGAGATAGCCCAATGTGGCTTTGCTTCAAAGCAAACAAACCTTTCTGGGTACGTTGCGACTTTTATTGTTTTGTTTTCTCTAGTAAATTGAGAAATATTTTAATTCGGAAGGTTATTGCTATAAATGTTTCCTACTCAGCTTATTATGTGGAAAACTTTGAGTCTTCCTACCCAAGAGCTTATTATGTGGAAAACTTTGAGTCTTCCTACCCAGGCGATTATTATGTGGAAAACTTTGAGTCTTCCTACCCAGGCGCTTATTATGTGGAAAACTTTGAGTCTTCCTACTCAGGAGCTTATTATGTGGAAAACTTTGAGTCTTCCTACCCAAGAGCTTATTATGTGGAAAACTTTGAGTCTTCCTACTCAGGAGCTTATTATGTGGAAAACTTTGAGTCTTCCTACCCAGGAGCTTAATCTGTGGAAAACTTTGAGTCTTCCTACCCAAGAGCTTATTATGTGGAAAACTTTGAGTCTTCCTACCCAGGAGCTTATTATGTGGAAAACTTTGAGTCTTCCTACCCAGGAGCTTATTATGTGGAAAACTTTGAGTCTTCCTACTCAGGAGCTTATTATGTGGAAAACTTTGAGTAAAAAAAACTCTTTCACTACCTCAAGTACTGGAATTTTTCCTCTGTAATATCTTTCACTTCCAAGATAGTGTTCACGATACTGATATCAAAATTTCAAATACCAATTTTATAGGGGATCCCAGGGCAAACGCCCCACCTATCGCTACGCCACTGTTTATGTCCCATAATAATAATAATCACATTGAAGGAAACTAGAGCGAACATATTAAATCTCCAAACTTTGAGTTAACCATAACGTTTTGTAAACCTTTGAAACAATTTGCACAGTAACAAAAATACACCCAACAAATTAAAAAGCCACGCTGAAGACACGTACTGGCGCCAACGTTCACGAGACTGTCGTGTATTTTAACGTTATTTAAACTACAAAGACAATTTAATAAGCATATTAGAACACTGGCGGGTCCACGACTTTCAGAGGGGTTGAGAGGTGTAATTTGCTGTAGCTGGGAATCAAGGAGTCCGTAAGAGACAACCTTTTTTTTCTTTCTCGCCCTATGCTGGACCCACTAATATCATAATATTGTGTATTATTACAATGATTTACTTGGTATGTAAAAACTAGTCGAGTCTCTCTCTCTCTTTTTTTTTTTAGTGGCCATGTTTTACTTGTGCATATACTTGAGACTACACTCATACACAACTCAAAACACTCTCAGAACTGAACTGTTCATAAACACACTTGATACGAAATTAATAATAACAAAAACACACCTCCAGGCATAATTTTTGTTTAGAAATATTGACTACAAAGTATTCCGGTGATGGTCCGTTAGTCCGCAGACACATTATTCCGAAGGCCTGATAGTCCGAAGATATAAATTGTTTTTTGTTTAACAGTTAAAATGTTAAATTGATGTTTCGTTATAGTTGTGAAATTTTAAGAGAAACCACCTCAGGATATGACCTAAAAGGTTGCATATTCCCATGAATGGATGGATGATATTTATAATTTCCTCAGAGTTATTTTTTGTACCCATGTGTAGTGTTAGCTGCAGAGCCTGCATAATTACGCTTTAGGATTGGATTTGGGAATCTAGCTTTTCTGAGAGAATGGACATTCAAGATTCTTATTCCATAGTGCCGTAACAACGAATGTTATATCCCAGACTCATTTAACATGTTGAAAGCTTCCAGTAAATAACATTATCTTGACAACGAGCCAATGTAATGAGCTGTACACTACGATGTCGATTCAAATATTTCCGGCCCGGCATGGCCACGTGGTTAGGGCGCTCGACTCGCAATCTGAGGGTCGCGGGTTCGAATCCCCCTCACATCAAACACGCTCGCCTTTTCAGCCGTGGGGGCGTTATAATGTGATGGTCATTCCCACTCTTCGTTGGTAAAAGAGTAGCCCAAGTGTTGGCGGTGGGTGGTGATGGCTGGCTGCTTTCCCTCTAGTCTTTCCCTGCTAAATTAGGGACGGATAGCGCAGATAGCCCTCGTGTAGCTTTGCGCGAAATCCGAAACAAACAAACAATCAAATATTTCCGTTTTTTGTTGTTTAGAACAAAAGAAAGCCGGCAAGGGTGGTGGGTCTCCCGAACCCCCGCTAATATTTACCCTTTAAACATTTTATTTGAAATTGAATTTATCTATCATGGACCTATGGATTTGTTTATTCATTCAATTTTGACTTGTATTTCGAAAACCAAAAACCTTCGGACCATCGGGTCTTCGGAATACTGGGCGGTCACCAGTATTTCTTACATACAGTACAAATTGACATAAATACAATAGTAATGTCAACTTGATCGTCTTATCTTTGCGTGTATAATTTAAAATTCAATAGGGTTAGATTTATTTCCGTTACCCCAAAGAGACTGTCAACCTTACAAATATATGTGCGTGATTATCGAAAATATTAAAAAGTTATACAAAAATTAATACAAGTACATAAAAGAAAGAAGAGCAGACAGAAAAACAATTATAAATAAAGAATTATATATATATTTTTTTGGTTTATTTTTAAACATCAGTAATAGGTTTCCGATCCCAGGTATAGTAACAGCAACGATCTACACCTTGGTTTTAAACCGGCAGGATAATTACTTAAGTTCAAAACGTTGACTAAGTTTTTTGAAAATAACAACAAATTAATTTATAATAATCATCAACAGCCTTTCTAAACCGTGAAGAATCATGATGTTTATTTCGGTTACTCACGTGAACTCGAGCTATCTGCATTAGCCGTCTCTAATTTTGGACCGATAAACTAGATGGAAGGCAGTTAGTCAACACCGCTCAACGCCAATTCTTGGGCTACTGGATGTCGGAGCTAGCAAGCCGAGTTCGAATTCTTGCAATACCACAAAATGTTGCTCATATTTTAGGTTGTGGGTGCGTTATAAGAACGACAGTCAGCCCCTTCGCGTGGATGGTGGGCGGTGGGGTGCCGATTACTGGCTGCCTTCCCTTTGGTAAGTAGTTTGAAATTAGAGTCGGCGTCAGATAGCAATAGACGTTTTGCCATAACTACAAAATACAAATTGTCTTTTTATGAAACAAACAGAAGGTCAGCACTTTTCACAATGGTCTTGACAACTGACATTTTTTGGGCTCATAGATTTGAAGTCATTAAATATTGAAGGTATCAACCAGAATATTTGACCATTTGAAGTGTTGAAAGTTTTAGTAAGATGACACGGGTGTTTAGTAGTTTCATCTATAGATAAAAAAATAAATTATTTTGTGGATCAAATAGAGATTGGTGTAGCCTCGCCAATCTTGTTAGAGTATTCATTAGCAGTTACATATTAATTTGTATTAGCAATGATACACTGATACAGTGAATCTCATTGTTAAAGGTGCAGAGTGAAACTTCGCAAAATGTTATGAAATAAAAGTTTGGAAGAAAGTCATTGCTTGGTCATGTTTTATTTAAATAATGTTGTAAAGTCTTCTGAACCTTTTGAATTTAATATTCAGTTATTTCGAACCATAAATATAAAAAAAATCTGCCTGGTTTTCTGTACTGAACAACAAAGTCTCCCCCCTACCTGTCCCTGTTCTTCCACACCTGTCAGTTCCCGCCATTCTTCAATAGTCTGCGCCAGATCCACCGTACTGAGGGCAACTTTGACTTCACCAATCTGATCATGTTTGGAGAATCGATCAAAGTCAAAGATGGCGAAAACCAAAGTCTTGGCTGCATATTCGGCGAAGGGAATCTATGAATTCGGACAAAAGACATATGTTATCGTCAAGTTTTTACAAAGAATCCTGTTACAAGAATGTTAGAAAATTTTATTAACATTCACCATAATATTTCGAAGTTGAAGATATACGCAACTTTATAAAACAATCACCTTAAAATTGAATGTTTCGTTGAATACTGGGTTTAACGTTTTTCTATGCACTTTGGTTTCGTGTTTTTTCTTCTTATCTGGAAGTAGGTAGACTTTAACGTAAGGATCAGATGTGCCTGACATGTCCATTCCTGGAAGGTCCTCAGCTTGGAGCACCGTCACTGCCAACTAATGAAGAGCAAACGAAAACAATAAAGAATCAGCGTAATACCGGGTAGCTTATCCATAGCCACTTTCAAGATAAGAAGCAAATAACCAAGAAATGTAAAATTGTGAAATGTCATATAAATTAGACCACGAAATTGAGAAATGAATCATAGTCCTTGGAGCCGAAAAAGACTCTCCTCCTAACCAAAGATAAAGAGACTCTTTCTTTCTGAACTCAAAGTAAATGCATGTCCTAGCCATACGACGTTAGTACTTTAATTAAACGAACTAAATGTATCGTAGCTGTTAAAACTAATGTATCGGTATACAATGCCAGGGGTCAATTCTAATGTTTTATTTTTGTTTTTTTTAGATATTTTTCCCAACATTTATTGTCTTTTGTTTTGAAGTACAGTAGACTCCCCCTATTAAGACCATCTGTGGGTCTGAACAAAATGATCTTACTAGGGATGAACCAGTTCATCAGTTAACTATAAAATACTTGAATATAAATGTTTTCAACATTTAAAGTATTTTACAAATTTTATTCACAGAACGTGTGCGTATATTGTGTTTTATTGTTACACAAAGTTGGTGAATTTTGTGATTGTTGTTTTTTTGACATAGTGTTAACGATTTCACTTTGATCAATGTCTTCTACACTATTTAAATTGTTCATCATTTTCATGACTGCTGGTTTTTTTTTAGTGCAAACTTATTCATTTATGCAATGCACTTCAACATTTGTGGTATTAACTGGATTGTCCACTCTTCTGCGTCTGTAAACTGGGCCCTCCCAGTGGAACAGCGGCATGTGTGCGGACTTACCGGTTTCGATAACCGTGGTGGGCAGAGCACAGATAGCCCATTGTGTAGCTTTGTGCATAAATTCAAACAAACAAACTATAAACTGGTTGCTGTCATTGTCTTCAAGTTCACTGTCTTCAGTGGAACAGTCACCATTGAGAAGTTCTTGTTTCCAGTTGTCACAGAACTCTTCGGTGGTGGGAAAGTCGTTGTCTTGGTGACGTAATCGTTGGGGTCGGTGATGACATTGGGAAGATGGTCTTTAGCTATCTGTAGTAGTTGGGCCCTGCGTAGCCACGTGGTTAGGGCTCTTGACTCGCAATCTGCGGGTTCGAATCCCCGTCCCACTAAATATGCTCGTCCTTTCAGCCGTGAGGGCGTTATAATGTGACAGTCAATCTCACTATTCGTTGGTAAAAGAGTAGCCCAAGAGTTGGCGGTGGGTGGTGATGACTAGCTGTCTTCCCTCTATTCTCACACTGCTAAATTAGGGACGGCTAGCGCAGATAGCCCTTGTCTAGCTTTGCGCAAAATTCCAAACAAACAAACTGTAGCAGTTGAGTCAAAAGGATGTTGTAGTGTTTGCTGTTGTCAATTGAGGGAGAACCGATGAAACATTTCGCGAAACACTCTGATACTGTGTTGTTCTTGATTTCACAGATGGCGTAATTGTTTCAAGCACAAGCGTCTAGCACACTGACACTTTTCACCAAATTTGTGAGCGACATGCCTTTATCCAAGTTTGATAACACAGAGCGGACTAGGCGCTTTTTGTAGTGGGCTTTGAATGCACGAATGATACCCTGGTCAAGAAGCTGTAGTACTGGTGTTGCATTGGAAAGCAAGAACGCAATTTTGATATTGCTAAGATTTACTTGACTGTGTGATGTGGCATTGTCTAACAGCAAGATAACGTTGTGATACTGTACTTTCATGCACATAATGAAGTCTGTAACCCAGTCTTGGAAGATGGTGTTGGTCATCCTTGCCTTCTTTAAGTCTTTGCTCTTACTGATCACAACAGTGCTTTCAAATTCACCAACAATATTATAACATATCGCAAGACTTAGTCTATCTTTTGATCACTCCCCTCCCCCCCCCCCAACCCATCGCACTGTTCACCTTTTACACACAATGTTTTGTCTGGTAAACCACGATATTTGACCCCAGTTTCATCCACATTGTAGATGTCTCTATGCACATATCCCTCTACAATAGTAAGCAATTTGGCATTCCATTCATCAACTGTCATGGCCTCGACATCGCCACGTTCACCACTGATAGCGTGTTG